GAGACCTTCTCGGAGACTTTGTTTAATTGGGTATGAGTATAGATTTGGCAGAAATACATTAGCACAAGTCTCGGTAATTCGTGACTTGGGTGTGCTCTTCACGTCCCTACTTAACCTTGACCTACACATTCAGACAGTTGTATCAAATGCGTATAAATTCTTGAATTTCCTCGGACGTTGTACAGCGAATTTTAATAATCCTGCCACACTGAGATTACTGTATTGCGCACTTGTGAGACCCATTTTCTAATATGCTGCAGTCATCTAGTCACCTTACAAGTCAAAGCACATACGTCAGTTTAAGGGCGTTCAACATCGCTTCCTAAGGTTCGCGGCATGCAAGCTCGGATATAGAATGGCTATTACTGATCATAATTATTGCCCTATCATGAATACGCTTAACCTGAGATCTCTGAAATCTCGTAGAACTTCTTTTGGTTTGTTGTTTCTATTCAAGCTAATTAACAGTATCATTCAAAGTCCTTAGCTTCTTGGTCTACTCAGCTTGTATGCACCTACAAAGCCACTGAAACATGTGCAGCTCTATACAGTATGTCCGTTTGATTATTTCTGTAGGTATCAGATACACGAAAAAATGTTTCAGATAAAAGTTCTATGGTATCGAGGGGGGCGTATTTTGAAGATAATTGTTTGTCTTTGAGGTAAACTTGGAATGTGCTATGAAGGAACACCTCTGAATTTTTTAATAAAACCCTACATTTTTTATCATATATTCGAATAGCTGACATCGGGATGTATTCAAAACACTAGATATACTTGTATTTGTCGCAATATTTTGTTGAGTTATTAACACTCAAAGTTTACGTGCCGCGGGCATTAGCGTTACCTAATGTACACCCGCGAGCAAACTCGGCTTCCACTAGGGGAAAAAGCAATGTAGGGGTTATGGCCTCCTACTACTTGGTAAATTTATTGCAAATATTGAAATAAATGTTAAACCGAATGTTAATTTCGCATAAGTTTCAATAACTCCGAGACCAACTGGTAGGAGGTCTTTTCCTTCCATCACTTTTTCCCCTAGCGGTAGCCGAGTTTGCTCATGAGGGTACACCCACGAACAAACTTGGCTTCCACTAGGGGAAAAAGCGGCGTAGAATAAAAGTCTCCTACTACTTGGTAAATTTATTCCAGATACTGAAATGAATGTTAAATCTAATGTTACTTTGCCATAAATTTCAGTAATTCCAAATACCAAGAGGAAGGAGCATAGTAGGAGGCCCTTCACCTACGTCACTTTTTCCCCTAGCGGAAGCCGAGTTTGCTCGTGAGGGTACATCAGGAGGTTGTTCAAGGAGGTGTTTCAAAACAATCTAACATAAGATGGCTAACCCTCGATATGCCCTCCATTATTAAGAATAATTTTTTGTAGTCGAACGGAAATGCACCAAAGAATAACAAATGCATGTGCAAAAATAACACCAACAATGTTAAAAAAGGTAGAAACGGAATTCGAACTTCAACTACACAAAATTATTTTCCGTCCGTTATATTAGATCCGTCAATGCCCGGGCTCGGTACACTGACCTACTGACACAGGTTTGCAAGCTGCAGTTGAATTTCCTTAATGGTGAGTTCTATTCAGTTTATTGGTCATTATTATTTTCTTAATTTAACACAAGCTATGAATTTTTCCACGCGATAACTTTGCAAGTTTCTGTACCTAAATTTTTCTTCGGGCTTCTTAAAGAGACCTATTCATTATCAGTAACATTGTTGCTCGTTATTAAACTACGAATTTTTATGCCAATACCGAACTTCAATCACTTTTCGTTCATTCAATGGTACATTACCTTTTCGTTAATACGTTATTTGAAAAGGAAATTTACAGATTCCTTAGCCTCTCTCTTCAAATAATTATTAGTTTCCATTCTGTTTAAAAAAGTAAATGTGCATTCGTCTTTTTACGTTACATATAATTTTTCTACATTTATCCTTCATTCATTAATCTCTTTAAATAAGAAACGAAAGATGATAAAACGTATGATTTTATTTGTTACGCCTTTTTTATTTGTTATTATACGCAGTTTCCTGCGATGCATGCCGACTTGCTTGTTCAGAGCTTCGTAGTAGAAGTGCAGCGCGTAGCCAACGCTACCGCGGGAGCTCCACCGGCAGACTCGCGCGCTGATTGGTCAGGGTGTTTTGTTAATATCTCGTTAACGAAGCCTCAAATTACATTTTTATTAAGGAAAAACTTGTTCCAAATCACCTCACGAGTCTTCCATTTCCGGGTTCTGCAACATTTATGTTACAAACCGTATACGTGTTACATATGCTATGTTCTTATTTCAAAGTACACGAAACTGAAAGATGTGCCTTATAAGTAGCGACGGCTGTATATACGAATTATTGGTAATATGAAAGATTTTCTATAATTATTGTCAATGGTAAAATAAATCATAAAATGCTACATCTCTTGTCAAAGTATCACTTTAGCATCTTGCATAGCTTACTCGCTATATTAAAAAAATTAAAAATGTATGCAAAAGAAATGAGACTCTAGAAACAAATATTTTCACAGTTTTATGTGTTGAATAAATAATAAATAATTTAAATAGGTAGGTATATCACATATATTTGTTGTTTATACATGTACATAAGTATATATGTATCTCATATACATAAGTGTATATATAATTCTTTTTTATACAGTTCCACAGGTCTGTTAATATCATTCATTTTCCCATTATAAGTTTTTTCCCAGCTTTTACGGTTAATAACATGTACTGAAAGAACGAAAAATTCTGCAAACTTTAAGGGATGATTTGATCGCTTGAGAGTGAATGTCAGCCGAAAGAAAATATTCCTTGCATAAATTTGATGCCCTCTACAATTCCACAAACTTTCATTAAAATCGGAATCTGCGGGTTGGAAAACCTTTCTTGTCAATGGGCGTACGCACGGGATATAAATAATAAAAATCGGTCTCGTTACTTTTTGTCATTACGTAAATTTGAAGAAGTAAAATAAAGTTATACAAAATTTGTTTGTTATAAACAAATGGTATATTGGACAATCTGTTAGCACCATATTATTGTACATAAGAAACCATGACACTCCTCTATTAAAAGTTTCTTCCTATCTCTTACTGTTACCAAGATATATTTAAAAAAACGAAAAATTTCGCAAACTTTAAGGGGTGTTCTCACCCCTTTAACGTGAGAATCGGCAGAGAAAAGAAATTGTTCTTTGCATAACTCGATGCCCTCTACAATCCCACAATGTTCCTTTAAAATCGAGATCTGCTGTTTGGGAAACTTTCCTTGTTAGTCATACAAACTTCAAGACATATTCTAAAAAATCATTTATTTTGACTACATCAATAATACTTGGTTTCTATAAAACATTTAAGGTGTATATTTCTTTTACAGTAACCTTATTTATGAAGCGCGTTGTGTTGCCAACGAATACGTCGCGAACATTTTTCCAGTAAGCGCGTCATCATTTCGATCCTACGAAGATCAATGTGTATCCGGTGAAAGGTGTTCTTCGTCCATGTACAAAACAGGGTCATCGACCGAATAAGTGCCTAATCTGACCGAATCAGGTTTCTCCGTTAGTCGTCGTCTTTGGCCATGACTATATATGCCGGCATTTGTACCTTCTTTCGATCGATGATTCGAATTTTCGGGTCATCGAACGTTCGTCTATTCAGTCATTCATCCTTCACACTGACATTTTTGCATTTTAGAGTTTAATTCATTGGGTATATTAAATTGTTGTAGTTTGCTTTTTGACAACTGTTTTCTGTTTCAAATGAAGTTGTAGAAAATTTTGTTTAATTTTCGTAATATAAAAGCGCCCAAAAACAGAGTCCGAGAGAAGTTTTTTTGTTTACAATTTTTTATTTTTCTACATCAGCTTGCATTTCAAATAATTTTTCTATTATTTTCATATCGTGTTAGGCTGTGTGGAAAATAGCTTCATTTTAAGTTGCTGGCAGTTGCATGCTGTTATTATTTGTTTACGTTATATGTATGAATACAGTGTAACAGTTTCTTGAAAGCAGTTTCTTTTTCCAAATATGTACTTTTATAACTTGGGCCATAGTTTATCGTCGGTGCATAATGGAATTCAAATTGTTTCAATTTAGCTGCTTTTTAAACATTGTTCCCATCAGTTTGCGGTGTTCATAATAATATTTACTGAAACAATCATTTTTCTCTACAAAATGTATGTTATAGAAAAATGGAACAATACCGAGACATTAAAACCAAATTTTTAAATCGTCAATTGCATTTTTAGTAGTCTGCAATTAAAAGATTAATACCTAGCATCAAACTACTGTACGTAACTGAATATTAACATACGTTCATTATTTAATTACTTGCAATAAATAAAATTTGTGTAAGTAAATAACGTGTAAGTAAATTCATATGTAAAAATTTACCAATTGCCAGAAAAATGTTAATAAAAGCGGTGTATATATTCTCCCACATGTAGATTTGATAAACTATTTATGAAACTACATCTATTCTGAATTTACCTGTTACAAATATACAAATGTAAGGCAAGACATAAAAATGAATAAAACAAGAACATGTAAAAAGTAACATTAATAAAATGTCCATTAACGATGCATTTAGAATAAATTGTCTTGTAGTTAAGTGAAAAAATATATACTTTTCCGTTTCATGTTTCATTACTGTTATATTTATCCCTTAACCTTAAACTGAAGCATCGGATATTTTTATTCCCGTCAAATCATATAGATACACGCAATATGAATGGAATATGTAACACTTCATTTGTGCTAATAATAATACTCAGAATTCATGCTTTATCGGTAATGTCGGGTATTGACATTAAAATGGTAACAGGGCTACGTAGCCCTACAAACGTGGGACAGAAAAAAGCATTGGATGGTAGGTCTATTCTATACCTAGTCGGTGGTAGAAGACGAAAATGAGTCTGCTGGGCGAGCACATCAGAGCACACCGATTTCCTTACATCATGGTTTATTATATATGGCTATGTAAATGGGGTAGTAAATGGTAGTGAATGTAAAAGAAGAATGGTGGAACGTATGTTTATTTAAGGTTATATACCATTTTATTAGTTTTTTTTAACAATATGGCTGATTTTTCCTGTAAAAGAATCTAAGAACACTGATCGAAAGAATTTTTAATATAGGGAGCAAACCAACGCGATCAAGTATTGCTATCATAATGAGTAAGATGTACACAACCGCCAACCACTCTGACAAGGAGTTGAAGGAACAAGGGAATCGTCTTTTCAATCTTCACAAATACGAGGATGCAGTCTGTTTATACACTAAAGCAATCGTGAGTATCGCTATGAACACGGTATACAGATTAGTCACGAGCGCATTTAATTCACGCAGATTAAAAATCCATCCCAAGCACTATACTTTACGAACCGAGCATTGTGTCAGTTAAAACTTAAACGATGGGAATTGTCTTGTCAAGATTGTAGACGTGCTCTCGATATAGACCCTTGCTTGATAAAAGGTCATTTTTTCCTGGGTCTTGCGCTTCTAGAATTGGAATTATTTGACGAAGCTGTTAAACATCTGCAGAGAGGTACTTATACGTATTTGTTTTTGGTAATTCCTGTGCTTTTAACTTCTGAAATAAATTAGTAGCCTTTTATTCAAAATTTGATTAATTTTTTTTACCACAGAAATTTCATAATTATTAGTAGGTATACAGTTACATTAAAATATTTTATTAATATTCTGTGTTTGCTTGTGAACTCTAAACAATATTGGTTCAGCTATGGACTTGTCCAAGGAGCAAAAATTAAACTATGGAGACGATATAACAAGTGTTCTAAGACAAGCAAGAAAACGTTGTTTCCAATTAAGAGAAGAACAGAGGATAGCACAAGATATTGAATTGCAGTCATATTTAAATCAATTGATAGTAGAAGATGCTGAACGAAGCCTAGCTGCTTTGAAAGAACAGGAATCAGCAAAAGATACAAGTGCAAAAACTGAAGGAGAATCGGAATCCAGTGAATTCATAAGAAAAAGGGAAGAGATAGAAGAAAAGAGAGATACATCTATGGTTCGCCTTAACAACTTATTTGAAAAAGTAGATGAAAGAAGAAGGGTAAGTACATTTCTTTTCCATTTTTATGTCTTACAACTGCACACAAGTAAAAGTAATAATGTCCTATTTGTGATTTTTGCAAATATATTGATTAGAAGAGGGAAGTACCTGACTATTTATGTGGAAAAATTAGTTTTGAAATTTTGCAAGAACCAGTAATTACACCAAGTGGAATTACATATGAGAGAAAAGACATAGAAGAACATTTACAGAGAGTAGGACATTTTGATCCAGTAACTAGAGTTCGTTTAACTCAAGATCAGTTGATCCCGAACTTAGCAATGAAAGAAGTAGTAGACACGTTTCTACAAGAAAATGAGTGGGCATTATATTATTAGTACGTATACATAGGTTACTGCCGTATTTTTATGATAAATTTTCATTTTTACTTTAATTGAATACATCCAATCATTATTGTTGTAAAATTAATTTTGAAAAATTATGTTATATCGTAAACACAAAATTCATTATCTTAAACGTTTTCTGAAATATTGTGTATTACTTGTAAAACCGCAGCACAGTACCATTAAGTGAAATGTTAGGCAATGCAGGTCATATATGAGCATTAATCGTGAATGTCATAATTGTATATTTTTTCTTCCCATAAATGGTAAATAAAGTAATTTATGTTGTGACACATACAAAATAATTTTTAGTTGTTTTATATGGTTACATGTTGGAAAATAATGATATTAATGGTAAGTAAGACAATAATTTACTTGATATCTTTTCAATTGTTTGCCTGTATAAGTAGCATTAACTTCAAGCAATTTCGTTTTTAGCATGGTACATGTTTCATTTCTAATGCATATAAATTGTTTTTACACAAATAATATATGTATACAACACGCAATGTATTAGGTCGATGCAAAAGTTCGTCCTGTTGTTGGATCAGTTCTTTAGCCAGATATTTCAGAACTTACACATACTACATTGACTAAATGTAATTTTTAGTAAATAATATTTTTCTTTAATTTTTATCAAATGGGACGACCTTTTGCATTAATCCAATACAAACGTATATTGTACAAAGAATTTATATATTAAAGATCATTGTTTTTCAAATCTTTTTTCTGTGAACTGTCATTTAAGGAATAATGAAATTTAATGTAATAAGACTAGTAGCTCCAGCGACTATAGGCGGTATATAATATTGATAAAATTGTGGACGGGTTGCTGCTCCCATTAAAAGTGTAATCCATCCTAAGAAATATAATACACTAGCTAATGCTCGTGATCGAATTCCAAGGTAGTTAGGAGGAATTTGTAACCAGCCTAATGTACTGCATGCTACTAAGACTATCCAGCTTTGGTATAGCAAAGAATCTTCAGTAGACAATCTAATGTTATAACTGAAATAAATTTATATATTATTATTATGAAACAGAAAAATTATATATACAAGCTATACAGTGTGATCCTCTCGCTGCAGTATTACTGCAAAGGCATACCGCCTGTTTTATCAGTTCTTGCTCTGTCTGTCTCAGCAGGAGTAGCTAGCGGCTCTTAAACGACAAAGCAAGTGGCACACCTTTACAGTACTGCAGTAAGATGATCGCACTATGTAATAACAGACCTGAAATTTTTTGCCCACACTAAAACTGATGGTATAGCTGGAAGAGCAGTAAAACACCAAAGCAAGAAAAGAAGAAGATGATTAAATATTTTTTGTCTAGTGTCTTCGTGTTCTTTAGGATTGTCTTTTGTATGCCTCAATCGTCCCATCCAATTGAAATGTTGCAGCGAAGTAATTAAAAGTTCTTCCAAATAATCTTCATACATTCTCGTTAAATTTAAGAAACGCAGAAAAACCGAAATTAACATAGCTAAAGCTCCACAAGTCATAGGAATTATAGATAAGACAAACATCGCTGTAATAAATGGCAACTGATTCAATCCACCAAGTAGCCAATCTGACCATGTTGTTGAAAATGCTATTGCGCGTGCTAGAAACCTAAAAAAAAATGAATATATTTAATTACATATACCATAATAGAAACACAGAGCTATAATAAATAGGTACTTAAACGTTCTTACCTGACAGCAATACCATGTGCCACTGAACCCAAAAATATAATAGAACAACAGAGTCCAATAGTGAATATACAAAGAATTGCCAGTGCAATTAAACATTCAAAGACTAAACCATAATAATATGAAAGAAATATTGTAATTACTATTGTTGGAAGTTGTTCACAACCATGATTGATTCTTATTGACAGAAATATTAAAAGTAGACTAATAATTGTTGTATATAAAAGATACCAACGATCCCTTACAATACAAGAAATTTTATCTATAATACCACCTTCCTGTACATTAATTGTGTAGGAACATGCTGGATATAAAGTTAGTCTTAACTTTGCAGAAACATTAGAATGTTTAGATTTTGTTTGAATTTTCATGGTTTTCAGTCCAGTGTCTCTAAAAAGAAATCAGAAAAATGTAATTTTGCTTGTATTCGATAAAATCTGACAAAGAACATAGCTGGATAAATAAAGGGGTCAAAAATGTCTTAAGACCGAGTTGAACTTGCGATAGACCAGGGATGGCAAATAGAATTTGATCTACGTGCCAAAATATGGTGAAATTTATTGTGATCTTTTTCCCGCGCCAGCTCTTATGTACAGGGTACATAGATAACTACATATAATAAAATTAACCAAATATAAATAGAATGTATAATATCTGATCGTGCTTTCTATGAAATTTGATTGAATGCGGAGGTGAATTGTGCATATGTGCGCATACCATCAAAAGTTGTTCCCGTGCAACTTATTTGCCATCCTTGTGATAGACCAAGATCTCTTCGATAACTTACCAAGAAAAAGCAATGTGTACCAATTTTCAACCCTATATCCCGACCAGGAGGGTAACAACAGCGAAAAATCGGATTATCGTTTTTTCCTTTATTTTCCCTGTTTATGGCACGTAAAAATGATGTAATAAATATGATAGATGTTAGTTACCGGGGTACGCGTTAGAGAATTGTTTCTTATTTTTTGGTTGAAAATCCTGGTTGTAAAAAATTAAATCATGAAGTTTTTGTAGATTTTTTTGTAAGATACGTCGTAGTTGCAAAACTCAAAACCCGATGTTTTCGACGTTTTTTCCGTGAAAAAGTAACGTGTACTTTAAATTTTTGTATTCCCTTAATTAAGTAAGTACAATATATTATACACTTTACAATATTTCTATATCCGGTAAAACAGTATATCAATTATAGAAGTTGAATTAATTTAATTAAAACTATGGTATACCTGCTGTATAATAAAAAATTTACCATTCTTTTGAGAGTGTCGTTGGTGCAATGGCTAAGCATCCGACTGTAGAACAAATTACTAAAAATTTTTTATGTGACATTCATTGTATATTTTTATAACAAACACGTGCCCCGGTAACTACTATCTATCAGATTTTTTAGCAAATAGAAGAGATATATAGAAAAACACCAATAATCCGATTGTTCCCTGGTGCTACCCTCCTGGTCGAGATACAGTGTTGAAAATTGGTACACATTGTTTTTTCGTGGTAAACTATACCCTTTGCTGGTATCATTTGTACTTACACATCTGTGAAAAATTGAATTTGCGTGACACCAATACTCCAAGGCTCAGATAATTCAACAATTGCATTATGTTTAGGATTTGTGCATTCAGATGGTTTAAGTTCAACTGTTATAACATCTATACTGTCATCAAGCACAGCATAATATCTTATGTGTCCTATATCAGACTTTTTAACCTGAGGTCTTATAAGTAAACTGTTCAATAAAGGTACACTGCTCTTAACAGGTACAAGTCTTGCATCATAAGAATATAGATCAACATTCACCGAAACATATTTTTCTAAGTCATCTGGAGTAATTCTTACTACAATGTGTGTTGCATCAGGGTATTTTATTTCTTGAAGATTTAAGTCAACAACCTTTCTTAGACGATGTAGAGGGTCTGGTAAAAGTCTTGTTCTATTTGTCAAGTTCCAACCCCAGTTACTAAAAGTGATAATAAATGAACATACTGTAATTTACACAATATCAACGTAGTCATCTTGTGAAAAATAGAAAAATTTATTACCAAATTCTTGATTGGTTTTGTATGCTGGATGCTGTACATATGAATAACCAATCTTTAGATTCAAGGTTTATGGTATCGATTGTTAACTGACTTGGTTGTCCATTTAGTCTAATCATAAGATAAATAGGGGATGTTCTTTTAGATAAATTTTTGTTGCTCCATGTATATTGTCTTCGTATATCTTCTATCCACTCGCCACCAAATTCAAATTGTATTGTTTCTTTGTAATAATGTAATTTCTTTCCAGAAACACGCTATAAATTCAATGTATTAGAAATCGTGCTCGTACAGATTAAAGATATTAAATGAGTTCCTTACATGATAAAAATGGTATGACAAAGCCTGCATCCTGTCTTCACTTTTGGAAGAAATTCGAGGGGGTCTTTGAGAAACGCTAACAGAGTCGAATAATGAACGCACGATAGAGAGTACTAATTGTTTGCACCAAAGAATGCTTAGATGGTCTGTAGATTTCCACACATCTGGTATATTGGTAGAAAGGACATTAATATCTGCAGTAGAATCTAAAAGTTGCAGTGAAGTCACAAGTATGTCTCGTGGTCCACCACCTATCGATATAACATTTGTGCCAGCATCTTTAATTTTGCTTAAATGGTTTTCCAAATTATAATAATAATTGGCTAATGTGCTATCTAATACTAGCGTAGGTGCATGAGGAGTAGCCAAAGTAATAATAATATTGGCCACACTAGCATTTATGTTAGAAGTTAATAAGATGGAACCTTTAGCAATAATGCCTCCCTAAAAAGACGAATGTATATTTTAAAACTTCTATAACAACAGGAATTCAATTTCTGTACTTACCATTGAATGTCCAATAAGCACGACATTCTGCATATTGGTCTTGTATAAATTTAAAATCTTTTGTATGCAATGTGAAACATAAACAGTTTCCTCCATTAATACACCTTGAATTAATAATTTGTTAATTACTATCTCGATATACTAATTCATGATGTATATTAGTAAATATTAAAAAGTCTTTTGTATAAAAATGATATACACATTCATATTTTATACCTCCATATAAGGCAGAATAATCCTTGCCCAATGAAACTGTGAAATAATCGAAATGAAACTGTGTTCTGCCTTTTAAGCTCTTCCTCAAACTCACAGAAGCAAGAGATCTTACTACGGAAAGATAGCATATGTACATTAAAAATAATATTTATTCAAAACATAAAAATTTTATAAACCAATTATAAGAACCTTGCTCATGAGATCCAGCATTGCCTGGTATAAAAAGAACTGGTATTCCCGAAAAATACATTCTTCTCAGTTTTTCTGTGACAAAACCTTCTCCGTATGCATATAATCCATATCGAGGATATTGTTCTTCTATTTCATTACCCAAGGATATTCTCTAAAAAAATTGTTTCTTAAAAGAATATTTCTTAAATTTCAAATCAGTTAATATCTAATAAAAATGATAACATACTAATTCAATAATTAATATTTAATATTTACTATATAATTAAAAATATAATTTAATACAAAAAAATTATTCAATATAATGTAGGATGTAAATTTTTATATCTTATGTATCTATTTTCAATGTTACTATTGCTTATAAAAATATTAAAAAGATCTTTACTACCATTTCCATTACATTTATTTTCAATTTTATCGCATAAGGAATGTAGTTGAATATTATAAGCATAGGCATTGTTTATTATAATAGTATTATATTTGATACTACCTAGTGAGTGAAAGTAGATTTAAATATGTCAAACCAAAACCCTTCGAGTCCGAAAGGAGGTATTAATAAATAATAATATAAACATAAGCAAAAGAAATCCAGGGTTAAAATAAAATAAAGTAGTTTTCATTCATTCTTTTAATTACAATGAAGTTTCATGTTATGTTTACGTACCACATACTGTGGATATTCAAACATATACGTCATGTCACAAGTATTTTCTTCAAAATCAGTAACATAACGGGCAACTCCGAGTATGTAGAACACAAAAAGTGACATTAACAATGAAAAACATGTAGTATAAATTAATATAGATTTAATCAGTACCATTTTTCTTATTTTATTCAATAATGGTATCTATTTATATATTGTGTATAAGTACATATATATGTACTTAAGTACGTATTGAATGCTTTCAATAGAACCTCAATAGTTACATACATTAATCAGTATGGTAAATAGATAAAATAAAAATATTAGTTGTTACTTCAATAACGAAGCAGTCACATTATATTATAATATAAACTATATATTAATATAAGATTAACAAAAAGAAAATAATCAATGAGAATCAACATATTTAAGAAGCAAGGTTACGAACACTGAAGATGAAATTGGTTATTAGTGAATACGTTACTGCGCAATCTCTGTTGTATCACATAGGACGTAGGAAAAGTATACAAGTAGACAATATTAATAATAAATAACATTAACGATACAAAATTATTAAGAGAAAGCCACATCAATCAAGTTCCCTAAACATTTTTTATTTGGTTTTGTAATGTAAACTATATTAACTAAAGAATATTTCAATGCTTCGTATATACATATGTACTTTAGAGATGCGTATGTCTTCTTTTAAATCTACGGACATTCAGTTTTTTACGATATAGGTAATTAATTTTAATAACTAGAACCTTGTGCACGTGAATCAGGAATTTTATAACGAGACTCGTGAGAATGTCATGCACTTTCAAGTGAAAGGCTAGTTTGTGTTATACAAAAGAAATGCAACCATTTTTATAAGTATAGACTCTAGGTATGAATTTATACTTGAGATAGTGAATAGTAAGTAATATACAAATACAGAAAACCCGATCAATTTGTTCTCTATATATGTATAATGTAGGATAAGGAAGACAATACTGAAATGCGTAACTTTATACAAAGTATATTTATTTGTTAAATTAAAGAAAAGTGATTACAGATATATAAAATTTATTGCGCGTTCCGACACATACATATATTTTTATAAAAGGTGGAATAAAATAATGATAAATTAGATAGAATATCTGTCATACAATGTTGTGCTCTTTCAACTCTGTATGTTCTGCAGAATGTTACTACTAAATACAGGACCTATCTTGAATGTCTTGAAATGGAGTTTTCCAAAAATAGACATTCTCTAATATTTGTAACATTATATTCTCTCCTTGATGAATCTCAAAGACATACAGAGAAATACGAAGTCATTGCATCAAAGCATGTCATTTATGTAGTTAGTAGCAATATTAAACAGTTACTTCATTCAAAGAAAATAAACTATAAATATACTATTTACTCTGTAGCATTGTCCTTTGACACGCTAAATGGTTCTGTTACAACTTCTGCTCCACAATCAGCAATCACAACATCCTTGGCTGGTCTATCACGAGTATCGGTATTTACTTTTTCAATTTTTCGCACTACATCCTGTAAAGTAATTTATATATAATAAATTCAGAACACATTTTTGTAATGTGTATTATTACAACATACCATTCCTTTGATGACTTTGCCAAAAACTACATGTCTACCATCGAGCCAAGGAGTCTGTTTCACAGTAATGAAGAATTGAGAACCATTTGTGTCTTTTCCAGCATTTGCCATAGAAAGCCATCCAGCACCATAATGCTTCAACTTGAAGTTTTCATCCTCAAAACGATTCCCATAAATACTATGACCTGTATGTATATTCACTTTAAATTTCATCATAATATTATGGATACTTTTATAAAAACTTTGATTGAATTAACTTTTTTATTCTATAAAGAGTAACATTCAATGTATTAGTTTAATTTTAAAAGAAAATAAAAATAATAAAACCTCCGGTTCCATCTCCTTTTGTAAAATCTCCTCCTTGGATCATAAACTCGCGGATAACCCTATGGAATTTGCTACCTTTGTACCCTTCTCCCTGAGGTTTCTTAGCTAATTCTACAAAGTTGTTCACAGTTTTTGGAACAGTCTTTCCAAAGAGACCAATCTCGATTCTTCCTTCAGGTTTTCCATCAATGTTAATATTAAACCATACCTGACAAATTGTATACAAATTAACTTATTTCATTCAAATCTTAAATATTTATTATTTTCCCCGAGCTTTACTAAATTTCCTACCATCTCCTCTCCTACATACACGCATAGTGAAAATAAACGAAAATACTCAAGAAAAGTGTAATTTATCGGTCAGAAATTAAAAAGTATCATGTCAAACCGCGTTTGCTTCATGCAATTTTCTTTTTATCTACTTTGTATAAAAACACTGTTTGTTATCGCGTCTGTTACTCTATACGGGTAAAATAAACGTATTTACATACCTTGTCCGTTACTTTCGGGCCTTTTTTATCATCCGCATTGGTACACGAGCAGAAGACCGATACCACGATACCCACTAATAAAAGTAATTTCATCATTTATTCAAAAAAGATTTAAATTCAGACAGAACAAACCGAACAAAGACTTGTTATCGAATGTCTGCCACTGTCTCTGCGTTGTCAAATTGTCAGAAGTTCTGACTTCTCATTCAGAATCCTCAGAACCAGAACAATGCAGAACAAAACCACAGGGCCACAAGGTAAGTATTAACAGCGCTTATTCAAGAGCATCAGGAGCAATCAGGAGTGCTTTGTAGTCGACTCTTATCTTATAGTCGAACAGTCGAACGTGGAACCCGTGGAACCTTCGCGCATGCGAACATTGCGAACACGACGTTAGAAATGTGGATTCGTTGATTGGTCTCATCAGGTCTCATTGACTTCGTGCAGTTACGTATACAAAATTTTTATATTATAAATGAAAAATAAAATTGTTGATGCACATTGTGATTAAAATTAATGTACAAAATGCATTTTTATGTCAAGCGATGTCTAAGTTCACATACGAAAGTTTCATATAGTTATGATTATACTGCGTTTATACAAATATTTACTTTCATCAGTTATTTTACAAAAATCAGAATCACGAAAAAGTTAATTACAACATGTAAAGGGTTTACTAGGTAAAGAATATAATCAGAAATTGAATGGCTCTTTTTTTTTAAGTTTTTATTTCATTGTATTTTCATAATTGCTTGTGCCATATAAATACAGAAAATTCGTAACTTATTACAATAGTTATTACTTTCTGACTGTTATGACGTCCGATTGTAAATCGTGTCCTTTTCGAAAAATGTTTCAAAGTTTTATGTTATGTAAGCAATACAGTTATTGCTACTGTTATTATCTAATTTTCGCTGTTATAATTAAGTATATATGTAGAACTATGAATTTACGTAAACATTTTGCAATCTATTGTTGTCGCTGGCTGTAGTGTTAGCGTAGTATTCAGGTCATTTTTTTTTTAAAGACAAGGCTTATATTCGAAAATTTCAACAGCAATAACTATACATTTAGTATATATTATATATTTATATGATTATAATAAACAAACAGATAAATAATTAATTTGAAAATTATGTGTTTTAAATGTATTCATAGAATATTATACAATTTT